AATAAATGAATAAATAAAACATAATATTAAGTGCTGAATATAGATTGAGTGCTTCAATGAAGCCACAGACCTGTTCCCTCAGACTCTCAAATGGACATTCTTTTCACAAATACCAAATGAATAAGTAATTAAATATCAAGCAGAAAGCCTTGAGTTTATAATCTAACAGGATAAGCTCACAAATGACTACACAATATAGGTCATAAGAAAAACAAATGCAGGGTTCTAAGGAGTGGCTCAAGGATGGAAAATAATAGTAATGATTGGAAAGAAGGGCAAAAGATCAGGAAATGATTTTCAGAAGATGGTTTTGAAATGCTCTTAAAAGAGGAACAGATAAAAGTGAGGAAATCTATCAGCTCCTCTCCATTAGATAAGGTCCTTGAAGGCAGGAGCTCGCACCCAGCACCAAGCACAGGAGGCTGCACCTAGTAGTAGGTGCTTTAAAGAAACAGCTTTGAGTTCCACTAAATATAGTTATGAGGAAGCTATGTAAGCATGACAGGGGCAAGAACTACATAGCCTGACAAACAAGGGACACTCCTGGAAGATTTCAGGAAAAAAAGCCCGCACATCCACACTTAAACGTGAGTCAGTCGTCACAAAACAGGGCACATCAGAATCCTCTCCATGAAAGAAAGCTGCATAGCAGAACAAAGGAGAAGGCAGAAGTACTCTGTAGAGCATATCTGTCTGCATCCTTTGAATTCTGAGGCATACTGACTACATTACCTACTCCAAAAATTAAATATAACTTGTAAGAATCTGCACATTTAAAAAAAAAAATGTATGTGGCAGCCATGTGGAGAATGTGCTAGCATGGGAAGAAATTAAGAAGAGATCCGATCTGAGAGTCTAATGGTTCAGGCACACAGCAAAAAAGGCCCAAACTAAATCTGGAGACGTTAGAAAGTAGCTGAAAGCAGAAATTTCAGAGACACAGTAATTGCCAACAAATCTGACTAGTGACTGAATAAATGGGATGATGTCAGGGCCCACAATACAAATAGAACCCATTTAAAGCTATGAAATATGTTTTTCTATTATAAAAGCAATGTATTCAGAGACTTTGTACAGGAGAATACAAAGAGGAAAATTATCCTTATTTCTGTTTAACATCCAGTGGTAACATCTGTATACATTTTCTTCCTATATGTAAAATTCTGGCTTAATATAACTCATATTCCATACAATTCACCTACTTAAAGTGTTCATTCCAATGGTTTTTACTATATCCAGAATTGTGCATCCATCTCCATAATTTTAGGAAGAAACCCGTCACACTCACTGTCTACCCTCCATTTCCCAACTCCCAATCTACTTTCATCTCTTTATATTTTATTCTACTTCATATATATGGAATCATATAATATGTAATATTTTATGTCTGGCTTCTTTCACTTAGCATGTTGTCATCCATGTTATAGAATGTATCAGTACCCACTTCCTTTTATTAATATATATCCCATGGTATTAAGTTTTAAGATTTTTAAATGTAACTCATCATTCCAGATATGTTCGGCATTTTTCATACATTAAACACTTCACATTTGCCACACTAAATGAAAAGTGACAGTGCATATCAAGGTGGCCACACCATGGTTTACTCAAGTCATTTTATTATTGTGGCACACTTGAATTGTTTCCAGTTTTTTCTATTGTAAATAAACTTCCTTACATCCAAGAGGGAACACTTTTTTGAACAACTCAGCTGGATCCAGGGAAATGCCTCCCTCAGAAACTCAAAGCTTTCTAATTTAGATTTACCACAGAGAAAAAGAGTTGTGCTCTTCCGGGAAAAAATTAAGATTTCCTCTATCTCAAACCTAGGTAAGAAGGTTAAAGCCTACCTCAAATTAAAAAGACCACCAAAATACCATGATTAAGAATGAAAACTCGTAATTATAAGGACATACTGATGGTTAACCACTCTGACTCTTCCCTCAGAAATCTACTGGAATGAAGAGAAGTGCTTTTTCCAAATGTGATGCTGAATTATGTAGCTTCAAAAGAAAACCAGAACTTTTATTTTCCACAGCAACTGGGAGGAAAATAAAGAGAACACCTTGACTAAAACAGCAAAGACGTACTTATTCTTTGCTAATGGACAACAGTAAGTTCAACAGGTAGAAAGAAAGAGGAAATGGCACTTTATAGACCATGGAGGTCCTCAAAAACAATTCGACATAACAAAGCAGGTTCCCTTAAAACACTGACTGTTTCCAGGAATAGTGTTGCATGCTTATAATCCCAGCACTAGGGAGGCTGAGGCAGGAGGCTCACCATGAGTTCAAGGTCAGCCTGGGCTGTATAGTGAGATCTTGTCTTAAAAAACAACAACAAAAAAGAGAAACAAGCACAAATAACACTGCCATTTTCTGGCCGTTTCCCATTCATTAACCAGAAATGTAAACAACCTCTAAATCAAAAGGATTTTTAAATTCTAAAATACTTTAAGGGTTGTGATCTCTACCCAATGAAATCCTTTGAAAGCTGGTCTAAAAAGTAAAACTGTGTCAGGTGTTCCTCAAAATATACTATACACACTGATTGGAATATGATGGAAATTGACACACTTTGTAATTTGTCAAAGAAACTTCAATAACCTCAGCAAAAATCAGTAACAAAGAAATACCCACTTGACATTTCCACTGGTTAAACTGAGATACTAGGAGTAAGTCTAAAAACAAACATTTCTGAAATTAACAGATTAACAGAATGACTCAAACGCTATAAAATTAAATGTGAAATTTATTCACAATGTTTAAGGCAAAAATAAAATACCCAGCCATTACTGTCATGAGGCTCATAGACAATAGTTTAGCCCAGTACACTAAATTATTACACCAAGATCTAGTATCTCACTTAAAAAAAACACACGAGCAAGATGGGAATCTTACCTATCTCTTCTCCTACCAAACACTAGTACACCTAAACAAGGTCATCCTAAAAGAACCCAGTGTTCCTGGTTCTCCAGTTAATTTAGTCAAGGTGAGCAATTTTCCAAAGAGTCAGTTTTGAAAAAAGACTTCCATGATCTACACAACTTAAATAAAAATTCAAGTCAATGCTTGATTTTGTGGGCCTATAAACCCTCACTGTCACAGCAGTTCCCGCCTCTCAAAGGCAGCATCCAAACCCTCCTGCAAGTCAACATGAAGGCACGCGGTCTGGCCAGCCAGCTCCTCCCAAAATCAGGGTCATCAGTGTGGCCTATTATATTCCTCACCGGCAAACAAAAATGTTCCCACCTGTAACATCTCTATTTGTAGGCAAGTACAGTTACTAACGAAGTTTCATCATTACTAATGAAGTTTTATCTGAAATTTAAATGTAAAAGAATCATAATTTACTAATGAGTTTTGAAAGAGTACTCTGAAGTTATTAATTTTCCACTCCAAAAGTAAACGTAATGCTTCTGTAAAAGTCCAGCTTTTAACTTCCAAAAAGTAAGAAGCTGCTCTTTAATCTTCAGAGCAGAAGACTGGCATGTTTTTTAAGCTAAAAGCAACTAGTTTCAGAGCAACTTTAATACTTGATGTTTAGTCATTTAGTTTTTAGGCACTTTTTGTCATAAATGATCAGTTTAATTTCCTTGTTTTTTTCCTACTAAACCAAATTTCTTAATATGTTCAGCCATCTAATTCAAAGGGAAACGTTTTTTTTCAGCTGTTGACAAGACTTAAAACTAACCCCACTCAGTTCATTATCACAAACCCACATACCTAAAAGATAAGCTTTTAGAACAGAACAGTAACAGGTTCATTTTGTCTAAGTACCCAGTGTTCTACTAAGTCAAATGTTTGGTTGGATTTTCAACAGTTTAGCCCTTGAAGTGATAAGGTTAAGAACAAGTGAAAAGAATCTCTATGTTCTTCAGGGGTATACAATCATCAGCACCCAAAGATTTAGGAACTGCCAGCAGAAGTAGGAATTGCCAGCAAAAGTCTTTTAACACCATAATAATTACTTTAGCATAAGCATTAATCATAATAGCTATTTTAGGAAAACAATGTTCATAGAATTTGGGACCTTCTAACAGACCAGAAATCTGCAGAATCCAACCAAAAAACCCATTTGACACAGAACATAAAACAAGTGGGGTTGGGTACTGCAGATACATGAACACACACACACACACACACACATATATATATATATATATATATATATATATATATACACAAACACTCATATATACACACACACAACCTGTGAGACGGATCTCACTAAATCTCTAAATTGCCCAGGCTGGGCTTGAATTTGCAATCTTCCTGCCTCAGCCTCCCGCAGCACTGGGATTACAAGCGTGTACTACCACGCCCAGCTCAAAAATGTTTGTAACTGGGTTAGCAAACTACATCTTTTCAATTACCATCAGGTTCAAATCATGGGGGGTGGGGTGTATCTGTAAGAGCAAAGAATAAGCAACTTCCATTTAGAACAAACCCACATCTAAAACACAGACCCTTCACCATCTGCCAACGATCCTCTTTTAGACTCTCCTGTCTCAGCATTACAGATACACACGCGCGCGAGCACACACACACACACACACACACACCCGCTGCCCAAGCTCACCCCAGTCCTACACGCCTCGGTCCCTCGGAACGGCGGATCCCTCGGCTTGAACGCCCTCCTCAGTCCTCCTTCGGGGTCACTGACCCGTCCCTCCCAACGCCTCGACGCGCAAGGCTCCCGCGAGGCCGGCTGTGCCAGGTCCCGAGGGCGAGGAGCGGCCGATCGCCCTGCGCGGCGCCCTGGCCCAGCGACCCCGCCGGGCCCGAGGGAACAGGGAGTGCA